ACAGACTGATTGAACTACTGGTAAATCCACAGATGTGAAAATAACCACCTAGGTCTTCTCCGCTAAAGATCCACCTTTGGAAAAAATATGTTATCAACATAAAACAGGGGCAGTTCCTGATCCACCTTCATCACAACAGAAGGAAGATGTTTCAATAGAAGCACTGCATGCACAGGACATGCTTTGTAACACAGCCATGTTAATCTGACTCTGATTCAGGCAGGACCTAACTGAGTGGAGCCAGAATAACCTCTTGATAAGGGTACAACATCAGGAGCCAAGAAATCTGGCCTCTCCTCATGCCTCTATCTCAGATTATTTATGTAACCATGGGTAACTCAGGTCAGGGCTCAAGTGCATGACCAAATTATGAGCATCTAATAGTTACTGTGTGTCTAAGCAGCAATAACTCACGATAACTACTTGCATTCTCTTCACCAATGAAGGATGTGAAAGTTGATCCAAATACCTTGGATCTGGGCAGACATACGACAGTACTTTAAACAGTTAACAAAACTCAGCTGACAAGGGGATAACCTCATGAAGTGCCATATGTTGCTTCCATTAGGTGCCCATAAATTGAAATAAATCATTGTTCTTAAGCAAGCACAACACTAACTGCAGAGGTCCAAGTGCTCCTGCCACCTCCTTACAGTATCCCTTACAGAATCCTGTTTATTTATCATGTGTTAAAAGCTCTGTTTTCCTCAACACAGAAGGAATTTTATAAGAGAAAAAGCTACACTGCTCAAGTTAGTCTATACACTTACCAAGCTGGGGGGTTTTGTTTTGGGTTGGGGGGAAGGGGTGGGTTGGACATTTGGGTTTATTTTTAAACTTCAAGGTTATCATGCAAAGTGCTGATCAGACATAAATTCAGTCAGGTCAATTTTCTTTTTTTTTTTTCCAAAAACATTTGTAGGTTAAACTTATATCAGCAGATTTTATGTAAGATATCATCTGTCAGCACCTGTCTAGGGCTATCATTTGTCCTCCCACAGAATTAAAGCAGAAAACCAGTACAAAACACCATGCTGTGTGCTTGGCTAACTCAACAGGATATGGGGAAAGACAGGAGGAAACTAGTTTGCACTGAAATGGTTTGTACTGTTTCACAAAATGTCATTGGGTTGCAAAACATGTTTCATACGCACAGACTAAAATAAATTGATAGGGCCTTGCAAAGCAAGTAGAAGTGTAATAATTATAGTCATTGCCAAATGGGAAGAGTAGAAGGGCTGGAGTAGAGTAGAGCCTGAGACACCAAAAGAACAAAAATAAAGTGGGGGGTGGGAGGGGTAGGGTAAGAAGAGGAGGAAAGAACGTGTGTTTCTTGATTTTAACAACATTTCTACCAACAAGCCAGAAGCTCTGCATTCAGCTCCTAGCAGAAGCAAGCTGTATACACGCTCCATCTGCTCAGGTAATTATTTCATTTATTTGTACACAAGTGGTAACATCTGCACACTGATCCCAGTGACACACCCAGCACTCCCTCTGTCCTCCCTCCCCACCTGTCTCCAAATTTGAGCTACTTAGAGGTAGCAGAACCACCAACCCAAGCATGGGTTAGCTGCCTGACAGGCCAAAGACCCATATTACTTTAAAACAACTTTCTCGTTACATATTAAAGCAGAAAGAATAAATCAAAATCATTGTTTAGATTCATTATGGAATTTGGGCGGAGGAGAGAGTATCTTCTTCCCCAGCTAGAGCTCTGCATGCTCAGCATTACAATTGTGGGCTTTCAATAGGTTCCCCTACTTCAGCCAGGTGGAGTCTGGCAAACACTGCCCCAGGACAGGCATTTCAGCTCCGCTTTATAATTTAATTGAGTTCTCTGAAGTGCCTGTTGCTGCACAGCAGAAGGGAAACGTATGGTACTCCTGCCCTGTGGGCATAATACACAACTTTTCATTAGATCACTACCCAAAATCCTGCATATTCAAGGCTAAAAATCTTGCAAGTTACAGGTGCTAAAGTGAAATGGATTAAAGTCAAGCGGGACCCCTCAGACAAGGCTCACTTCATCTTTCGTATTTCCCGTTTAGCGCATTCACTTCCGTGCCAGTGGGAGATGAAGAACAGATGATGGCAATATCATCAACAAGTAACCACCTAAAATGTATTCTCTCTCTCCCTCTCATGTCTAAATAAAATTCTAGTCACAGGTGGTGCCTAACAGGCAGGTTTGACATGAAACTGGAAACTACAGTTTCAGAAGACAACACCACAGGTGTAGCCTCAGGGTCAGCTGATGTGGACTACTCAATATTCTGCATTTCTGGAGCAGGTAGACCTCCTCCACCCTGAATAGCAGATGTTCTGGACTCTGAAACAATCCCCTATCATCCACACCCCATCCTGCAGCCCATCTATATCCTGCAGCACATCTGTAACATCCCTGAAGTCTCTCCAGGACTCACAACTCCATACACTGTCTGCCCACAGTTCGTATTATTAAAACCATGCACCATTTTGCATTTCAGGAGATTCACATTTTGGAAGACAAAGCTACACCATCAGTGCTTATATCACCTGGATCTTACATAATTCCTGGTCCTTCTCTGGAGCCAGGCCAATTTCCCACCACCACACACTCCCTCATCAGGCAGCCATACCTGGAGAAAAGAGGGCCACACAAATACTTCACCTAGGGCCTGACCAGTAATTGAAACAGAAACACTTATTTCCATCCTGACTGCTCCCTGGAGAAGTCCCAGGGTAGAGGTTGGCCACCCTCATGCAGTGCTGCAAGGCATAAGGAGCTGGGTGAACCATAACACCAGAGCAATCATTGCAAATACTATTTCCTCCGGTTCCTCTACATCCAGCCTATAACTGTCTCTGCTTGTGCTTCTGGCTTCCAGATGTATGCTAGCCACAACTCTTCAGCTCGGGACATTACAGCCGCACAAACAACATGCTCATGAAATGAGGTATTGACAGATATCCTCTCTCCTATCATCTTAACTCAGACAGCACTAGTTTACTGGTTTCCTCATTCCCCTCTCTCCACTCTTGTTTCCTTGTCAAAGTACTCCACAGAGTTAGAAAAGAAAACAAAAACCAAAACCAAAAAAACTCCCACAAAACACAAGATGATGATTCATTTCCCTAAACATTCCTCAGCTCAGTCTCACTTGTACCTGGAAGTCAAAATAGCCCGGGGCAGTATTTGCCAAGCCCAAGCATCAGCCCCATGCAATGGGAACACCCCAGCATCTCCACAGGAGTAGACAGCTCTGAGGTCAGGCTTGCACCCCCAATGGCAACCAGACACCGGCACCACTGATCAAGACTACAGTCAGCACCCCTTCTGAGCCACCTATGGCTGGAGAACGGGTGTCAGGCTGAGCAAAGATGGGTCAAGCACCTCCCCTCTTTCTCCTCAGGGACACCTTTGAGAAGCCTGTCGGTTTTTGCCAGCCTAGAGAAACACACAACTCAGACTCCCAACAGACCCACAACTCAAAATAAATAAAACCCCCAGCCCTCCCCCACAAAACCAACAGATATATATTGATACCAGGCGTATGTACATTCATTCCTTGGTGGACTGTCCCAGAAGCAGTTCTTGGAAAAGATGGTTCACCATCTCCAGTTAAGATCTTAAAGCCTTGGTAGAGTACTGCAGCCACCCCTAGTGACCCGAGCTCCTCCACAGCACCTTCTGGAGCGACTGCAACCACAGTAGGAACGACACAAGCAGTAACGTTCATTTCAGTGTTACTGTAGTCCTGAAAACAAATGCTGTTGAATCAAATGCCACTGCTTAGTAGGTAACGTGCCCCATATAAAATGTTGTTTTCCACTGTGCCTAAGCTTCAAAGCAGTTTTATTTTGGGGTTTTGGGGTGTTCTGTTTGGTTGGTTGGGGGGTTTTTTGGTGTTTTGGTTTTTTGGTGGTTTGTTTCTTTTTTTTTTAAACAAACCAGAAGCAAGGATGCGTTACAGCCTTCACCCAGAATTGATTCAGACTTATGCCAGGAGTGACTGACAGTCAATTGATACAACTGCTAAGTGGCCTTTACAAAGCTGGTCTTTGTCCAGTTCCTAAAGAAAGAGGTGTCCACGCTACAGCACTCAGCAGCACAGCTGTATGAATCGCCACCCAAGGGCAGACCTGTCAGGCTCAAGCACGTCAGCCACCAGAGCCAAATGATCCTCTGAACAGCATTTTATTCCAAAATGAGCCCCATATCCAGCACAGTCAGGGTACTCTGCATGAGGCTTTTGTTTCAAATCCAAGACACTACTGATGGGAATTTCCAAATGACAAATAATTAAAAAAACCCCACACCCCTCAGCATAAAAGTGTAACACAGATCGTCATCTCCAACACATTTAGTCCTCAAAATCTGGTTTTGTGTCGTTAAGATAGCAGATTTGCTTAGGTCCCAGGGAAGGTGGTTCATGGCCCGATGAGACCTACCAAATCCTGTATCTTTTATACCCTCCACCTTCTAAGGATTAGGCCCAGAAAACAAGAACTTGCAAGCACAGTCATTGAGTCAACTTGCACAACAAGCATCCTAACCTTCAGAATCTGCGCCTTTCGGTGGCAATCCAGGGCAATTAGCACCGGTCATACTGCTCTCCCGCACCTCAGCGGGGTGGTCAGGGCACATGCAGAGACCCAACAGTTCTTAAGGCGGAGGCTTTCTGCCTCTCGGAAAGAGGCCCTTTTGCACAGGCTTTGTCTGCTTGGTTTACAGGCACAGTGCCCCAACTCTAAATGATTCTCAACATCTCTAAGAAAAAAACAGACCAGGCAAAACTAGGTCAATTTCTTTCAACCCCACTCCCTCCTCCCTGCCCGCCCAGTCATCCCCTTCAGGGAAAATGTAGTGGTCCAAATGTTCCATAAAACACAAGTGGCACACAACCCACTTGAATCCAGCTTCTATCTGCATCTTGAAGAACAGAAATACAAAAAAAGGAAAAAGAGACTTCACACACAAACAATTTTCACATGTTTAATGTAATGGCACTCTAATTAAGTTTACAGTACTTTCATCTCCACTAGATACTGTGTTTCAAAAGTATTATGGGAAAAAACAAACATTAAAAACCCCACTATTTTTTTGTAAAGTTTTAGAAACTCAACCATTTGGAGCTACATATGCATAAATGCCTTTCAAAAAATTGTTAAGAACTCTATTTTTTCACCCTCACACAACAAAAAAGTAGGGGTTTTCTGGGTCTTTTCACAAGATATGGAGATCAAAGATGGCACATAAGAAACTTCTGAAGTCAGGGGGTGTCATAAGGTTATATCAGGACTTCCGCTGGAGAGCCTGCCATGAAGCAAACACTATAAATAGGAAAAGAACATACAAGAGCTCTAAATAAGTGAGAAGCACAACATGTTTTGCAAGCTTGTGTTCCGATAGCCATGGAACTGAAGACTGCTGGCTGAGGAAAGCCTGCCTGAATTTCTTCAGCTAAAGTCTATTCAAAGCATACCCACCACAGAATACACTAGGCTCTGCGATACTAGTGACAAGCTCTCCTTTGGATTTTACCTTGGATCAACAACCAAAACAAACAGAAAGGTCACTTTGAGAAGCCATAGGAATAATCGAAAGTATTTGTTGGGTTTCCTATGACAAGTAATTAAGAGAACTAATATGGAAGCAGATAAAAATAGACTAGACTCGACTAGTCTTTTTGAAGTACTACCAGCTAGAAAACTAGCAACCCTATCATTTTATTATTAGTTTCATACTTTAAATAGTTAAGGAAAACAAGTACCCTTTGTATGAATAAAGTCTGGAGTATCCTTAAAGAGGGGAAGCTAACCTAGAAGCAGCCAAAGACCCTAGATTTTCACCTAAAGGCTTATCCTGAAGGATGGTGAATTCATACAGTCACTTAAAATAGTCTTAAAACTTTGGGGTGGCTGTGTTTCCTACAATTTACAGTGCTCATTTTAGTTTTTATTCCTCTAATTCAGGATTAGAGAATGGACTCAAGTTTGTAAGTGGAGAAAATTAACTTTGGAGAAGTCACAGATTTGGTTTTAGTAAGAACTTTAAATATTCCTTCTCCCATGCTTAGGAATTGCTCATTCTGCTGTTTCCACTTTTTTTCCCCCCAGTTAAGAAAATATGCACTAGACTAAGAAAGGCATTAACATTTTATCTTTGCATCCTGCTTCTAGAGTTGCTTCCCACCTTGAAGTTCCAACAGTCATCATCCCTAAAGGATTCGCTAATACTCTCTTATATTTAATACTAAAGGTCACATTCCTGCAAAGTTTTATCAGTGTGAACAATTCTCCTCAAATGCATAAAGAAATGCTCTCTAAAAAACTTGATATTTGTGAGAGAAAGTAATTCAGAACTTTAAGTTAATAATTTGTTCATTTGGATGCCCATATCATGCACAGGACCGATGGAGTACATAAAAGAAAAAAAAATGCAGAAATCTACATGAGTTACAGCTTCTGGTTGAATCATATATTAATTATACAGAAGAAACTAAAAATCTCTACTTACACAGAAAAAGGGTGGATATAACACAAACACACTCACTCCAGCACTTCTCCTACTATAAGAATATTGCACATTCCGATACTGTTGCACGAATTACTGGCTTTTTATAAAGACCATATATGAGGTATTAGTCTATTAATAAATAAAGAAGAACATGAAAAAGGAAAAGCACTTAATATTATGCAACAATCCATTCCAAGTATTTAGTGAATGAAAACTGAACAAGCAATAACACATACCCTTGAGGGGAAGGTTAAAGTTACTTAGCAAATAGGCAGCTTTCAATATCCATCTGAGAAGCAAAGGGTTAAATCTCTTTTGAGAAAGATTTTAAGAACTCAAAGCCTATTTAGAACACTGCTGTTTAAAATGCTCATTTTGCTCATGCAATCAATCTGAAAGGTAAATTCTTATCTCACAATTCTAAAGGGATAGCAATATGTGGGTGACAGCAATCCTATTAAGGGGACCCAATTTAATATACTAAACCTGTACTACTCGTTAAGAAATAAACCAGAACTTTTAGATCGACATCAGTTAAAGTATTCAGGGGGTTTGGGTGGGTTTTTTTCCTTCTTTTTGGTTTTAAATAGTTTAGACTGGTTATGGATTTCTATGGTGCTGAAATTGTTACACATTAGCACTGTCCTCGTTATCAGATTTCCAGCACCACAAGGCATTTGATGAACATACCAATTGTCATTTTCAGTTTTACTTTGTGTTTATGCTAAGAATTTACCTTTCAAATCACAACGCTGAAAAAATCCTGCTGACAGGTAATAAATCTGTCAATCTAAACACAATCTATTTTTTATTTAGACCCTTCCAGAAACACTAGGAATCTGTAGGCAAGCTTATCTTAAACTTTTAAGTTCATAAGAGCACAGAGGAGTATTTAAGTTCACTAAACTCAGCTACGGTAACATAACAAGCATAAATCAAAAGTGTTTTCAGTATACTCTTCCAAACCTCGTTAAAGAGATATTTGTATTCTGGAAGAAAAAAAAAAAAAAAAAAAAGGGTACCTTGTGTGCACACAGACTTACTTACATGAATATCCCTTAAATAAGTCAAGGGTTATTCAAATCCTAAAATCTTTTCAGGCCAGTGAAAGGCTACTTGGAAATAAACGTAATTCCTACATCACTCTCCTGAGTGAAGCACAGTCTCAACATATTCTCTCTTGTTACTTTCTAACTTTAAAAAGTGTCTTATTAATACATTTGCAATGCTGGACAGAGTAACAAAGACCCAGGTAAGTCATATATCCGCTATTTTTGTGTAAATTATCTACTTTGCACAATAAGTCCTTATTAGGTAAAAATTGCAAGTGAACATTTGGAAAGACGTGATAAAAAAAAAAAAGCAGCACTTCAAAATTAAAGTATCTCCTCTGCTGCAATCCATGCACCAATAACTCAAACAGTCCTGAATTGGCATATATGAAAATATATTACACTTCTGAAATGAAAAATACATATCTTGTGGTGAAGCTCAAATTTATGGAAAGTGTTTACTAAACTGAAATAACTTCTTCTGTCACATGGTATTATTTCTCTCCCATTCTAAGCAGTTACTGAGACAGCTACTTCTCAAACGCATGTTGTTTCTATTCTGAAGGTTAGTTTCATCTACAATTTCTTTATAGCAGTTAAGTGTTTTTTAGAACAAACAGTTCAAATAATTTTTTCCATGTTAGCACAAAACCAAGGTTGATTATAAAGGTATTGAAAGAAGAAGAAAAAAAAGAGATGAAAAGAAAGAAAATGTTATTGTCCGGAACAGTCTGTATAAGTGGTAACCATGTTCCCTCGTCTCTGAGTGACAGTCCTGCAGTGCTTGCTGGATCCGTGAAACCTGGTATCAGTTCGCACCGCATGTCGTTGTGCATTTTCAAAGTCACTAAATGAAAACATTTTTTCCATATTTTCAAACACATCATCAAACAGTCCACTGCCAAAGGAGAACTCTTGGAAAGAACGTCTTTGCCGATTGTGAGCTTCCCGATGACTTCGGAAGTGATTTTCAAAGTGCTTTTTCGACCGTGAGTTTTGACTAAAGAGGTCAAAGTCTTTGAACAGATCATCAAAGTTGAAGTTAAATGACTGATGGAATGGGCTTCCATTATTTCCTTGCCTTTCATGATGGACAAACTGATCATATTCTCTTCGTTTATTCTCATCTGATAATGTTTCATACGCTATTTACATAAAAAAAAAGTTTTAAAAGTTTATTTATATTCCCATTAACAAACAAAACCATACACAAAGACAAAGAACAGCTTTCTCCCACTCCCTCAACAGGACAAATTTCAAGCAAGACTTTCATTCAACACGCAAGCCCCATCAAGCTCAACATTTGTTTAACTTTCTCCAATACAAAATAAGCTGTTTCAAAAAAAATATTTATAATAATAAATATAGCTATACCAAGAGGATAGATTAAATCCTCAAAATATTCAATTCACATAATACAACTTAGTTTAACTAGCAATAAAGATTAGTGCTTATATTTAAAAGAAAATAGCAATGACATGTTGCGATCAGAAAGACTGAAGGAGAGAGGATGAGTTAGGAGCTCTGCCTAACAAAGTGAACTGCCTGCTGCATTCTTATCACAGAAACACAGTGCAATGTCTGCAAAACCACTTGCCAGCCAAGCCAGCAAGTTCTAGCTGCACCACAGTTACAACTAAGCAACAAGATAAACATCAAGGAGACAAAATAAAGAGAATGAATTTCCCCTATGCCCAAATTCTCATTTTCTCAAAAGTCCAGCAATAAACCCAGATTCTGTGATTGGATATACCTGAAATGGAATTAGGTTTCCATACAATCTTTGATCCACTACTACAGCTACTGGTGTTCCAAGGCAGAAACTCTCACAGATAATATACCCACTTTGATAACGTTAAGTATTTTAAATGCTTCCATTTTCCTATCTGTCAAAGGCTTGCAACTACTCTATATACTTTAACACTTCCTTAAGAGTTCCCAATTCCTTCTGTAACAGGTGCTAACAACTGCACTAAGTACCTAACAAGACCATCCCTCCCTTTCACTGTACTAATAAATACCTTTCTTTCAAAAGAACTTTTCTGCAGACAAGAAGGTAAAACCCAGAAATCTCGTATTAGCTTAATTAGGAGAACTACACAAATAGATGGACATTATAACAGCCTATGGGGAGCAGAAGTGGGTACAATTTATTTTTCAGAAAGCATTTTTCTATCATCATTATTTGCTTCCACCATTGTATTTTATCACAAAACACTTATGAATGGTGTATTCCTAGGATCAGAGGATAATTCAGGTTGGAAATCACCTCAAAAGGTCTCTAGTCTAACCTTCTGCTCAAAGTAGAGTTGGTTATGAGATCAGACTAGGTTACTCAGGGCTTTATCCACTCCCAAAAAATCTCCCAAGGATGGAGACTGCACAACCTCTCTAAGCAACCTGTTCCAACACTGGCCTAGCCTCAAGGTGAAAAAGTTTTTCCTTATAACCACTCTGAACCTCTTGCACCTGTTGTCTCTTGTATTCCCACCATGAACCACTGAAGCACCTCACTGTTATTTTTGGTTGTTTTTTTTTTTTTTATAATCTCCCCATAGTTACCAGAAGGTTGCTGTTAGGTCCCCCCAAAGCCCTAGTAATCCTGAGCTGGATCTTACTAGACAGATCAAAAGATAAGAATTAACCTCCTAGGGCTGAAGTTGTCCTACTGCCAAGTATTTTTTGTGACAAAAGGCATAAGCCGAAAAGCCTAATAAGCAGGAAAGCATAAACTGTGTAAAAGGCCTGCCTATGTGCAAGGACACAGAAAAAAAGTCAGATATTGATACTGGACACTTGACACCACAGAAGTAGAATTAAGAAAAAAAATCTTTTTACTTCTTATTCAGTAAAAACAGTATACTTAAGTTACCACGTTTGCTCACAGATATAAGCCATGTATCAAATTACTGAGACTAAAGTTATCATATATTACCTTCAGCAATTTCTCTAAATTTTGCTTCTGCACCAGGACTCTTATTTTTGTCTGGATGGTATTTCATAGCCAGCTTGTGAAATGCCTTCTTGATCTGGCGGTCAGATGCATTTTTTGGAACTCCTAAGATATCATAATAGCTCTCTGTAGCCAATATTAATTCAGTTATCATTAAAATACAGAGAGCAAATGTGAAGACAGATTGCGTAGTTGCCATTTCTCTGGTTCCTAGAAAGAAAAAGAAATATACTTGAAGAACAAGTTATCTGAGGATCCACAAGAACTTAAAGGCACAACTATAAGCTGCAAGAGGAAGACTGTATGTTTCAGGAGTCACTCAGGGACAGGCATGTAAGCACTTTATTTCACTCATGGCTACAAACTCCATTCCCCTAGTTTCATAATCACAGAATATGTAAATGAAAGAACTGCAAATTCACATTTCCTGTGCATCACAAGCATCATGCTTCAGTGTTCATCTTTGTTTTACACCTATCTTTAACTGTACATTCTCTCACAGAGCTTTTGAATATATAATACATTTCACTCTATCAAACAGTTCATGTTGGCATACCTGAACTAGATTTAAACTAGTCCTTGAGTTCTAGCACCATAAACACAGACGCTCTAAATTAAGTGTGGGTTGCAAAAACCCACTTAATACTGGCAGATCAATTCATCAATTAGCTTGTGCAACAGTAGGAGCCTGAAAACACAACTGGCCTAGAGATCAACTGTGAGATGCAGGAAGACAAGACTGTTGGACACTCATGCTCAGCCTCAGAGGTCATTTAACTCACCTAAGGAGAACATGAAAAAGAGTAAACCACTCATTTAGGGTACAGTGTTCAGTCAAGTAGGGCACATTTTCCTTTACTTTAAAATGGGCTGGGCTTAGCTCACTTTCATATTAGACTGTACTATAAATAAAAATGTCTACCATATCTTTGATATCAAATAATTCATCTGATAAATACCACTGCATATAAAGGTTTACATATGAAACTCTCAATGTCTGAACTGAACTCAAAAAAAGAAGTATTCTATATAAGACAAGCAGCTTCAACAATAATTAAAAGTTGTAACTATGTTTTTCAGCAACGTTACTTGTCAAAAAGTTACATTTTAAAACAAACTGATGCTAGAACTCAGGGGAAAAGTTGTGGCATAAGTCATGAGAAAAATCAGTTCCATGTAGCCACATGATCTTTCATAATTTTTATGAAGGACTGGGTGACCTCTTCCTACCAGAATAAGAGATCAAATGATTTGCCAAGGCCTGAGCATATTATATTTAAAACACAGAGCACAGAAACGTGAATGTTCAAAGACAGATTGCTGGCTGTCACCTAACCAGCAGGATGTACAGCAAGGTCCTGAACATGCCAGAAGTAACATGTCCCCCTCACCAGATTACACTGATTTGAGCGTACCGTAATTACAACTCAAAGAAATGAATGGTGTTTCTTCCCTGAGAGTTGAATAAACCAACCTTATTGTGCGAATACCATTAAAGTTGTAACTACTTTTTCAGCAACCTATTTGTCAAAAAGTTGTATTTTAAAACGAACTGATGCGAGAACTCAGCAAAAAAGCTGTATGTGGCCCAAACATTTGTCACACAGCGTTCAAAGCCTTTAAATTTCAGGTACATAAGACAATTAAGCTTTTAACAGAAAGTCCATAACCTCTAAAGAAAATTAACACCCAAGACCAAAAATGGAAAAAAATACCATTTCTAATAGGTAAATCAGGGGGCTAGAATGAATGTCGTGAGGCAAGAGCAAAAAGCTCTTAAGATTAATGCACCCGTGGCCTCTTAAGCATTTATTTGGCTAGCAGCCTGAGTGATATCAAGTGTTAAGGAGCAGCAGTTGAAACAAATTGTATTTTGATCAGTGTACTTAGACACCAGATAGTTCTTTTCAGTGCATGATAACAGACAAATTTTCAGTACAAGCCTTTCCACGTATTTTCTCTCACCTCTTCACTAACCTGAAACTTTGCCACTTGGGCACTAAGACCTACACACAGGTACATCCTTCCACGCTTTTAGGGCTTTCTTCCTGTTTGTGCTTTATAGATATGTATTTATGTCTTCATCTCACACACGATTGTTCTCATTTTACTTCACTTCCCCACACCTGCATCATGCTTGTATAATCACTTGCTGCATGCCCTTAAGGCTAACCTCCCTGCTTCTACTATTAAACACTGAGAAGAGCTAAAAAGAGCAGTTTATGTCCTTCATTAAGAGCCAAATCCTCTTTTATGATTCCCAAGCTCATCACAGCCTGAAAACATCAAGTCACTCCTTTAAAGTTTTCTGCGCTGTCAATCTCAACTTCTATTATTCCTGATAATGAATCACACCTAAGTTTTCCTTTTTCTACAGTTTTACATTAAGATTTCCGTAATGCTGTGCTGCCTCTAGTTTTATCTGGATTTCTAAAGCACATTTAAAAAAAAAAAAAAAATCAGTACTTAAGTTTCACTACTTTTTTAAATAAATGTAGACAGATTTAATGCTGTCCTTGAACAACTCAATGAAACTCAAATATAAGAATAAAATGAGACATAAATGAAAATGAAATACAAAAGAAACTCCAATATAAGCAGCATTTTAAGCTTATAAGGTTATCGCGAAGACATAGTAAGTCTTATATTCAGACACTATTATCAGTTATGGAATTTACTTTCTAGAAAATACCCATTTTATATGTTACCATTAACTAACATGTTAAATGCCTGACCTCTGTCCTGCTATTCCCAACTATTTTTACAATCCTTTTCAAAATAAAGTCTCCCTCAAACACTTATTCTGCTTATGGTGCTTCTCCCCCCATTTTTCAATTGAAAAGGGACAGATAAGTTTCACTTCCCAGGCTATGCGCAGTAGTTACTTAATACACATTCCACAAATTGTTAAGTGCCATGTACTTCTTAACATTAAATTCACACCACAAAACAGTCCCTCCTAACAATTATTAGAACTACATTTTATTTGGGTACATCTAGCAATAAAGTTAGAGATTTTATTAACACAGATTAACTATTTAACCCTGTTGGACAAGCAGTTACAGATCTCTACTACTATTAAGCTTGGTATAGAAAGCATACTGTCTAATGTTTATCAAAAGCATCATAGCAGTGATATCACTCAATCAGTTCTCTATCAGTTTATCAACATTTATCAATAGCTACATGATGAAGTGATGTTTAAGGATGATGTACCTGGAATAAAATCTGTCGTATACAGAAAATCAGGAGCTACTTCCACCTTGCAGTGCAAATGCCCTATTCCGTCCCTCTTTGAATGTCATTAGCAAAGATCTTGGGTAAATGCTTATATTCACGAAGTCTGACGTGCTCAGAAAATCCACAGCATCACTACTGCTCCGATTACGCGGATTGTGATGCACTGCCCAGTGGAATCCTGATGTCATACAACTATTTTCGCAAACGATATATTAGCAGTAAGAAAGTTTACCCAAGTTTTCCACTGGTTCTCATATCACGACTAACCCGATGAGTAAGCAAGTCTCATAGCCCACAACCATCTACAGGAAAGTCTGTCAAACTCCGGGGCTTGTACTTTTCTCGGCCTCTCCTACAGTGAGCGGAAAGCAAATCCAGGAGAAGGCTCCTAAATCTTGCTCTGGAGAACAAGGCAACGAGGCAGAGCCTCCCCCGGCATCATCCTCCCTAGGCAGACCCCCAACGAACCTCGCCAGAGCCGTACCGCAAAGCAAGGCCGACCCAGAGCTCGGCAGATGACACCGGCGACATCAGCGACGCTGTCCCACCTCCAAGCCGGACAGGTTTGGAAAAGACCACAGCAGCCGGGCCTAGCGAGACGCGACAGCCCAGGGGAGCCCGAAGGGCAAATAAATCCGCCAGACC